GGTGTGGCGATTGCGCAAATGTTAGAACGCACTGATCTGAGCATGGATGCAAGTTTCGGCGGTAAAATGGACGATGAGGATGAGCTGAACAACCAGGGTGTTATACTGATACACGGAATTGGCAATAAAATCACCAGGTTTCAGGTTACCGCTTAAAATTTTTCAAACTGTTATTTAGTAGTCGCTTTTTTCTGGGTAGGATTTCAAGCTCAAAAATCCATAAAAAGATAAGGAAACGCACGCTCTTCTTCGTTTTGGATCATCTGTGTTTAATTTCCAGCAAAAAAAATGTAATTTTTACTAAATTTCAAACACTTGAATGTTACTTAAAACGCTTTAATTGTATGAATCACATTCAAAAGGACAGTTTTTTTTCAAGAAATTCCACCAAAAAAGGTTCTGGACGGGTTCATATAAATGATGGGCGAAAAAGGAGTTCAAGACTGGGAAGATGAAATGTATTGCAGGGCATGGTGAAGCATCTACTCTCAAAAGGTTACAAACAATCTGAGATTTATGGGACAACTTGGGGCGATGCTGGTGCCACGCCGGCCGCACTGGTAGATATGAAGTGCTCTTACGTAAAGCAGATCAGGTAAGTTTCGCTTAGCTTACTTCAGATCAATCGAACAAAAATTCCCCATTCGTTCCGCACGTCAATAATGAAAAGCGAGGTTTGAATCCCCTGAAGCAACTTTCACTCAAATCACATCATTTGATCATCAATTCGGAAAATTTCCCAGAAGCCTAATAGCGACTGTTAGAGGCAGTGCAGCTGCATATGCATAAATGATAATGGGACAATTTTTCAGGAGTATGATAATTGCTGTCCGCCAGTACACTGGTACGCGGGTTGACGTGATTGCTTATTCGATGGGTTCGCCAATTGCTCGAAAAGCGATTCTTGGTGGGAACTGCGTCGATACGCGTGAGATTCTCGGTAAGTCCTCGAAAGCGAAACATAGTGAAATAAAATTCATGAGGTAGTGAAGTAAAGGAAAAGTTATCAAAAAAAAACCTAGGCTGGAACGTACCAGGCTTTCCGGTGCGATCATGCGTTTTTGCGCTAGACTCGCAGACAGCTATTAGCAGGAATGATCCCTACGCTGTAGCCTAACACTTGAACTCATATTGGCTGTGCTTTGGCCCTTCCCGGCATGCAGGAGGAAGGACATCAGTTGGGATGAAGGTGGTGCATTTTATAGCCGCATGGACCTCCAGGTAGATGATTACCAGTTTTTTGCATAAAGCGCGATCGTTTTTTCGGTAAATGCTCGCTTTTTTCGGTAAATTTCCAAAATTTTACTCCAAAATTTTACTCATAATCTTCTTTAATTCATTTTCACACACCCGCATAACCAAATGTTGAACAGAACAAATCCGGTTCAATTATTCGCGGTTTTCAGGATTTTCCCCCTCCCTGTCATCCGCTCACGGACGATAAGCAAACTGGGTGAGGATGAATGTATGTGTACATGCATACATTTATCATATGAAATACCTCACTTTGTCATATGAAAATCTTTCGATCGTTTTCTAGGTCCACCTTTAACAGAATTAATCGACACATACCTCAGTGTGGCTGGTGCTAACTACGGTAGCGTTTTGTGCATTGTGCCGATACCGGTTGGGACATGCAATCGGAGGACCGGACTGCACTGCAAGTCCACATTCCTGCAGGATATTAATGCACAGACTCGATATGAAGGGACATTCATTTTCAGTATTTTTTCGGATGGCGATGAAAAGGTACTTTTTTGCTTATTTTCATCCTTTTTGATACATAGCTTAACTGATGCGGAAGAAGAGGAAAGGGAAAAGGAGGACAAGAAAGGAAATGTAGAAATAAAAGAGGAGGAAGACAAACTTTTCTGGTTTTGCATAAAAAGTTGAGTGAAAAGCGTAAGATAGTGGCGTAATTAGAAATTTTTTTTTGTGAGATATGAGGTTTTGATAAAAGCATTGATGCTGATTTCGGCAATATTCACTGGAGATGAAGCTCGGACAATAAAATTTCGTAGGAAACTTCTGCATACTTAATATATAGGCACATTACTTTGTTGGGATTTAAAAAAATAGCACTTCGCTGATATTTAATTTACTAAAAGTTCCAGAAAAAAATTTTTTTTCTGTTTTGCTTCAAAATCATTTATTCTACCCCTTCTATCTACAGAAAAACGTAGAATAAAGGATGCTTTACATTCTGCTAGGACATTTCTTCCAGTTTTAATGTTGAGAAAAAAAATTGATAGAGTAAGGTTACTGACACCGAAGGTCTTGACAAAAATACTTTTCGGTTCTTTCAGATTGGCTTTCGTGCTTGTGACACATTGCTTAGTCCAATTAAAGGTGAAACAGGATTTGTGAAGAAAGAATTCCTGAGTCACGATCTTACGATGGATAGCACCTATGAGATGCAACGAAATTTCATCCAGAAACAACGACCCATCTGAAAATTCGAAGCTTTTATTTTTTTGCTGCAATGTGTTCTTATGAAAGTCGAGCAAAAAATTATGTCGAAAATTATGTTTTATCTTTTTGTTTTTCTAATTTTTTTTTTGAAAAACAGTGTATTCGTAGCAAGAAACGCGCGAAGCGATAGCGTACGTAGTCACTTCTGACCGACATCGCGCCTTAGGAATCGTGGTCGTGCAAATAGAACCTTGTACTGAATCATGTACACTGTGCAGGACTTCATTGACCTGAGTCCAGTTCCCGTGTCCGCTGACCAAGCCGCTTTATAATTTTTTATTTTCAATTTGTGGCCGATCCGTATTGCAACTGTTTCTTTTTTTTAGCACAACCCAAGTAGGTTTCTGCTTACATTTTGCTTAGATGATTTTGGCGATGCTGAAATTAAAAGGGTTTGACCTCTCTTTTCTCAAGTAAATTGGACCTCCCCTTGCCACAGAAACCTAGATTGCAACGCACCAGGCTTGTCGGTGTGGTCATGCGTTTTTGTATTAAACTTGCATCACTAACAGCAAGAATGGTTCCTGCGTTTCGGTCTAACAAGTAGATTCATGCTGCTATTGCTTTGGCCTTTTCTTGCATACGGAAAGGAAGCGCGCCAGCTAGACTGGTAGTGTTGCGCAATGGAGCGGCTTGACTTGCAGTAAATGACGATTTTTTGCATAAGCCCGGTTGATTTCCCGACGAACATCTGTTCATCTAAAAATGCGATTTTGAAAACCCGCAGGATTTCGAAGGAGGATCACGAAGTCTGCGAAAAGCACTCGCTCTTGAGTTTGTTATAAAATTGACTATATGTCATATCCGCTTGAAAAGATTTTGGCTCCCAAACTGCGTTTAGATCAAACGAGAATACAGAATTACAACTTGTAAAGTTGCAAGATCGCAGCTTGTCCGGTAAGCGAAATAACCAATTCGCTACAAACGTCCCTGAGGTACCTTAAATCATGGTATAAATGAAAATTGAAACTTGTTTTGATTATAAAGTGACAAATAACCTAATAAATTTTCGTCTCCTGTTTTTCGGCTAGTTTTTGATTGGCAAAACGCTAATTGTAAGCTCTGTCATGATTGTGTGCACGTATAGGCGTATGCGGCAGCTAAATTGGAAATCTCTAGCTCGCACATGAACAAGGATCAAATGGAATCTGTGTGAAATTTCAGCTTTCTAGCCTGTCTTTTTCTCGAACTTGTTTTCACGCCATTTCTTTTTTTTTGCATTTTCCTCGGAGTGCCTACAGAAGTTCCAGACGGACGTGACTTGTAAGGCACGTGTGCTGGGAACGCGCTCACAAAATTTCAGTCTTTCAGCTTTCCTGGTTGTTGAGTTAAAAATGGGTGTCAAAATTCACTCGCATACACATACACACTACAAGCCTTTTCCATAATATGCGTTTTTGGTCACTGTAGCAACGCTATAAGGCTGCACGGCAAAACACATAAATAACGCATTTTTCAGACTGAGTAAATTAAATGTATGTTTTGTTCGTTGTTCTGTTGCTGCCATCAGTGCTTGGCTCCTTCGCTAGGGCGAGCCTATCTCCAACATTCTACAACTGGTTGAATGAGGTCTATGGCAGTTCAGTCGCTGACCGATTAATGCGTAATGATTTGGGTCCTGGAGGAAGTTTTGGAGGTGGCGACCATGCTGCCGGCAATAAAACAAAGTAATTTTCAATTCACATCTCAAATTTCATAGGTTTTTTCTTGTCTTGATCCCGTTGTGTCTCGATTAAAAGAGGCATGAAACAGAAGAATTTCGCACTAGCCTAGCTTTCACGGCCTTTTGTGATAATATTTTGCAATCTGAACTGAAAAGGTAGTTTGAAACTCAGTGGTCGAGTATCAAAGCCAATCACGCTTTGTGGATGATATGGTTCTCATTGTACAGGCGAAGTAAAAAAGAAACTCAGGAGCTTAATACAGAAGTGGGAAAAATAAGCCTGAAAACCGAATGGTTGAAAACGCGAAAACGAAGGTGATGCCAAGCGCCAGTGTTGCTGCAGCCAGACTTCGCGAAGATGCTATTGACTTGTTGAGAGTAGCGCCTATTTGGACCAGAAAGTTCCGGAATATCGAGGCATGA